GGACCTCGCAGTGATGTGGTACTCAAGGATTATGATGAATGTGCATGGCAAACAGCTGCTGTGGCTGCACAAACAAGACATTTGTGCTGAGTGTGGACCAGCTGAAAAGGAGGACCTCTGTCTGGTTATTTATGCCACACCAGTTTGATTGACAGTTTTTCCACTAACTTAAAAAACAGAACCAAACAGGCAAATACACCAGTTTGTTTGAATTAAACCAAACAGGTTAAGTTAATCATGTGTTTATAGCTATTTATTAAATTAATGCTGTAATTCTGTGCTTCTAGGTGACTCTCCCTGTACCTTCTGTGCATCAGCAACAACATCAAGCACAGGGCAGGGAGTTGAACTGGCTGGCACAAAATGCCCAGCAGCTTCAGAGAGACATGATTCCTCTGGACAAAGAGGCTGACTGTCTCCTCTCTTAGGGACAATGGATCTGGGAGAACGAAGAAGTAATTCAGTTTTACTGATATTTGCTATTGTTAAATACACAGTTGGGTAATAAAGTTTTTACTATTTTCTCAATGAGTTTTTGTCCAACATACATGTCAAAATCTATCCTGTAGAATCGATATTTCCAAAGGTACAGAACATGATCCACATTTGAGAAGAGGGGAAGGCTAGATGGAGATACTGTACATGGCTTTTTGAGGTGTCACATATAATGACATTAAGAAGGTCTTCGGATTGTTTAAATAACACAGATTGCTCCCTTCATTTTTTATTTTAAAAATTATTATTTTTGTCCTAGAAAATTACCAATGATGGTAAAGAATATGTTCACCTCCAACCTGAGATTATCAGAGTGATGCAGAGTCAGTCTTTGCACCCCATCCAGAGCAGCAGAGATGAGTGTGAAACAGCAGGATGTTTTCATCTCACTCTGGAGAAAGACTAGAGGCGGAAGCCCAAAAACGTTCTTTTGAGGAAAGATGTAAGACACTTTTGTGCAGAGACACGCATAAACAAGATGAAAGAGGAGCTGGAGCTGGAATGGCAAAGAATGACTAGAGAGAGAGAGGCCTTTCAAGGAGAGCATGCTCAAATGGCTGAGATCAGGAATACCTTCCAGTTGGAGAAGGAGAACATAGAAAAAGAAAGAAAAGCCTTTAAGATAGCACTTAAGGCAAAGCAAAGAAGGAGGAAGGCCTTAAATAAAGAAAAAAAATACATATGCAAGGAAAGGAAGGTCTTCCAGATAGAAAAGAAAGAGATGGCCATGGTGTCAGAAGCATACAAGGCAGACATAGAAGGAAGTTGGAGAAGGAGAACATAGAAAAAGAAATAAAAGCCTTCAAAAGAGAACTTAAGGCAAATCAAACAAGGAGGAAGGCCTTTAATAATGAAATAAATTACATATATGAGGAAAGGAAGGCCTTCGAAATAGAAAAGAAAGAGATGGCTACAGCCAGAGAGGCCTACATTAAAGAACAGTCAGACATACAGAGAATGAGAGAAAGCATGAAAAAAGAAAGACAAATCTTCAACAAAGAACTTAGGGTTCAGCGTATGAAAAGGAAGGCCTTTGATGCTGAAAATGATGCTATTATTGATGACAGGGAGATGTTCAAGGTAGAAAAAGAAGAGATGGCAATGATGAGGAAGGCCTACATTCAAGAAAAGACAGGCATCCAGAGGATGATAGAGGCTTTCCAGTTGGAGAAGGAGAACATAGAAAAAGAAAGAAACGCCTTCAAGAAAGAACTCAAGGCAAAGCAAAGAAGGAGGAAGGCCTTTAATAATGAAAGAAATTACATATGCAAGCAAAGGAAGGCCTTCGAGATAGAAAACAAAGAGATGGCCATGATGAGAGAGACCTATATTCAAGAAACTTCAGACATACAGAGAATGAGGGAGGCTTTCCAGTCGGAGAGAGAGAATATTAAAAAAGAAAAAGTAACCTTCAACAAAGAACTTATTTGTTCTTTAATGAAAGAACAAATCAAAAAGGAACCAGTCAAGGCTTTTGCAACCAGTGCTGTCAACGTGTCAGACAGTTCATCTTTCAGCTTCACTTCTGTTTGGGATGAACGTGGCAACAGCAGCTGCACCAACAAACGTAAACATCAAAGGTGCACAAAGAAAAAGAGTCAGAAATCTCTCCAATAGTCTTCACACGTATTCAAAAGTGATGAAAGTCTAACAATATCTTGAGTCCTAAGATATCATTTTCAAAACCTATTATATCATTTTTAGAAATTATTCTCTAATATACATATATATGTGCTTATATTTAGGACTACTTGTCAGTAATTGGAGGATGTGGTACATTTGTGTGAGCAAGACCAATAAGTCAATAAATTCAAATCTGCCTCAGTTCAATGATGTGGTGTGTAATAATGGTGCAATTCAACTAGAAACTGAGGCTCAACTACTTGTTCCCTTGTTTGAGGGAACAAGTAGTTGAGTTTCTTTCTGTTGATTTACAATTACAGTGAAACAGTTAGGCTACGGTGCGAGCCGTGGAAGGACAAGGTTTTGTCAGTACATTGCACTTCGACCAACATTTAAAAATGTGATAATGATCAGTTAGTTGAGCTCTCGTCTGTCAGTAAGGACTACTATTATGCCAACATTGCAAAGTTCGTTTAGGCTGCTAAATTGAGCTTCACATCCAGGTCAGCCTCAACATATTTCATTTGCTTTGAGGGATGTAGGATCATTGTCATTGCTGAGGGACATGCAGTCAACCTTTAGCAAGGAGATACATCATTGCCATTTTGGGAGGATTTCATTCTGCCAACGAAGACTTTAAACACACACTGAGCTTGTCTGTGTATTTTATAATCAGTCAGCAGTGACTTAGAGAGTATGAAGCCCAGAAAGGAAACTAGCTTTGACTTCTAGCTCCACTCCTTGCCCTCCCTTTGGGACACAGTACTGTAAGTTATAGCCCCCAGGGACTGTTGGGAAATCGGAAGTTTGGAAAACCTAATGGAGTGAAACACCTGTCAGTTCACAGTGTAAAATGGTCTGGTTCTTCATTTAAATATAACTTGTTCTTCCATTCATTTCATGTTAACATGTGTAAGACACATTATATTATAATACTGCATAAAAACATGTTTGGTTTTTTTTGCCTGTTCACTACAATTCATGTGTATTTCACATCACTGCTGGATTTTAAAAATCGTGGCATGATGAATGAGGGAGAAGGCTTTTTAGATTGGGAACAACATGCGTAAGAAGAGGTACGAGTTAAAAGACAAGAAAAGGACAAATGCACGTGGATAAAGAAGAAGAGGGCGACTTTCAGCAAAGACAGATGAAAAGTAGACAGTGAGAAACCAGCACAAACCACATATTTGCCTAGTCATCATCCAACCTAATCTCACTTTTTAGCCTGTAGGAATGAAAATGGCAACTGAAGCTTAGAGTAGAATAGCGCAACTTCACACATCAAAATACTCAAAAATCTCTTAATAAAAAACACAAATAGTGACTAAAACTTCCAAATTCCTCCAGAATGAACTGGCAGACTATAGCAAACATTTCTTAGGCCATGAAATGAAGTTCAAATCAAACATGAATGAAAAGTAAATAAACATAGGGCCCCCATTTATCTGCTACAAACTAGCTTATTAAGTACAAGCTATAGGTGGGACCCAACGGAGAACAGTGCAGGGTGCACATAAAGGTCATTTTAAACTTCTCACACAGAAACACCTGGAGGTCACACAAACACAATAATGCATTTGAACATATTCATGCACACAGACAGACTGATGGTACTGCATGTGACCTTTGGAGCCCTCTTTCATTAAACTCAGCAAGGGGGGCGGTGAGAGGAGAGAGAGAGAGATCTAATTTGAGGACATGAGAGTAAACAAGGAAGTTGAGAGGGGACCTTTATGTGTGTGTAATTGGTCTATGGAGGAATTACGAACATGCGCACCACAGGTGGCTACAGGCCCTGCCTAAATAGCTAACCTTATAAAAGTGATTAAGGCCTCTGAGACATGCACATGTGTGTGTGAGAGAGAGAAAGAGAGAGAGAGAGAGAGAGAGAGAGAGAGAGAGAGAGAGAGAGAGAGAGAGAGAGAGAGAGAGAGAGAGAGAGAGAGAGCAGGTGTGCATATAGAAGGATGTGTGTGCTGCTCTGGGACTATAAATAAAATGTTGTTTTCACTTCTCCAGCTCATCCACAGCATAGTACACATTTATGTGTGAACGTATGTGTGTTCACCATATGTAATAGTGATTGACTGTGAATAGCAGGTCTTACGAGGGACACATTCAGTGATTCATATAACAAACACTCTCTATTCACAATGCCAGCAAAATGATCAGGTGGCCAGAGCCAGAACAGAGAATTAATTTCCAATATGGGTGATTAACCAGGGAGAGCTACCTGATCTGGTGACAGTCAATAAACCTGTCATTGATCAAATATCAGCACTTCTTTGTTTCACTATAAAAATGATTTAATAGTTAGTTTTTCCTGGCAAATGTAGAACGGAAAAGAAATACATTAGAGGTTTTTTTTGTGTTGAGTATAACCCTATAATCGGGACTTGCTAACTTTGTTAAAGCAATATTAATTGATTTGTTTTTGGCCATATGGGGGCAGCTGAAAACTGATATGATTGATATGTTATGACCTTATTAAGTTTATATGGTGCACGTTAGTAAAAATGTGCATATATACACATCCAGCAGACACAGAGCTCTCTTTTTTTTCTATTTTTGGTCCACTATCTCCTGCTGGGAAAATCTGGCTATCTACTCTGTTCACCAGGTAGTTGATAACCTATTTGTCTTCCATTCGGTGCTGGGCAGGTAGTGTTCAGTGAGTTAACCAGTACTTTCTCACTGAAACAGCCTCCTGCTGCAGGTGGAAATGGGCTGATGAACCAAAACACTAATGTTAAACCAAAACAATTAGCTCAAAGACAGTAAAACGGTACCATAGAAATGAGGGGAACCAGTGAAAGTGACATTTGACATGCATGCAACGCTTACAGATACTTTATGATGATGCAACTAGCTGGACTCACCTTCTTCTGCAGGACATTAACCTTCCTCTCCTTGACATCCAGCATGTCCTTCATGTCTCTGATCTCTCCTGTCAGTGTGCTCTTTTCATCCGTCAGGTCCTGCAGCTGCTTTGTTTTCTTGGTCAAGAACTGCTCCTTCTCCTCCAGTCGCACCCGCAGAGCATCTACCTAGAAAAGACCAAGACAAGAAGTTAAGCGCAGGTAAGCAGCAACAGTCAAACCAATAGGGAGTTTGATCGACATATAGTCAGAAAGATTGCAAGGGAGAGTTAGAGTGGGTGATCTAACTCAATTTTCATAGAGTGAGAACAGACAGATGGACAAGAAAGTATATAGCTTGAAAGTAATCTGTAATAGACTGTAATAGGCCGACAGTTTGAGGTGGAAACAGACCAGAATGAAGGACAGACACAGAAAAACAGAAACACTTGTAAAAATACAAAGAAATACACAAAAAAGATTACGAAATCTTACACCAGGAATTTTTTTTCTAGTCCTCAGTCAGGTGGCCCATATGTTATTATTCAGCACTGGAACTGACATGTCTCAACACATTTACTTGTTGACATTTGGAAGTAGTAAAAGTTCAGCTTTGACCTACTGTCCATAATATGAACCACTGTGGACTGATGCAGTAAAAGTGTGTGTGAGAGAGAAGGAGCCTGGAGCCTGTCTCATCATTTGTTATTGAGAGTGCTGCATGATTGGGCCAGCACTGCCATAGATCAGACTGCTCACACACTTCACACTCACACATTAAAATCCTCCATATCTGGCTATGTGTAATGAGATGAGTGATATCTGAGCTCACTCCAGAAGTTCTTATTGGACAAATATCAGTGTTCTGCTGCACCGCCTACAATGACACACACACACACACACACTCACACTCACACACACACACACACACACACACACACACACACACACACACACACACACACAAACACAAACACACACACACAATACACAATACACAATACACATGCACACTCTCAGGTGGCTGCCATGAACTGACTATGTGCTCCTCTGTTCCTCTTCAACACCTGATTACATTTCCAGCTTTTTTTGCCATGGCGCAATGAGTGAACCCATTTGAACTTAATTTTAAGGTGTGCATGTGTGTTTTATATGAATTCAAGACACACACACACACACACACACACACACACACACACACACACACACACACACACACACACACACACACACACACACACACACACACACACACACACACACATACTGTAGATAAAGGGAAGCAGTAAGGGAGGACCTGTTAACAGTCATTTTAACAAGCGTTACTCGAACAGAGGGGACGGTGTGAAAACACTTAAAGCACAGGCTGTGTTGTGCTCTCCAGCTCATCTCTGAACTATTTTACAGGGCACTTAAGGAGATTCATAAAGGGAGAGATCAGTGGTGGAAAGCAACTCTGTACATTTACTAGTAAAGTACTTTGCCTTAAAGTACAATTCTGTGATGGTTGTACTTTACTTGACTAGGTCGATTTCATGCTTCATATTATACTCCACTAGACTTCAGAGATAAATAAAATTTTCCTCTACTTAATTATAGTTACTTATATATCATATTGACAGTTTAACAACCTTTACCGAGCAGATAAAATATGATACACTGTTATAATGTAAATAAAGAATAACTAATAGTATATAGTATAGCCTATAACAGTATATAGCTCTGACATTGTAATGCTTCCTACAGTTTAAAGAAACAGTTCATAATTTTAGGGAAAAGGCGTATTCCCTTTCTCTCCAAGAGTTAAACAGTTGATAATAACAGCTGCATGGTTCTCTCCATAATTCAGAATTACACCTTCCGACATCTTTAAAGTGGACTAATTCATACTATTAATATTAAGATTGAACATTTGTGTTTGCAATGTAATAGATAAGTATGCATGTATACTTTAAGAAAATAATAATGCATGACTTATATGAATGGAGCATGTGTACATTGTGATATTGCTACACCACTTATTGGAAGTATTTCAGAAACTAAAGAGTAACAAACCGTGGTAAGAAAAAACAATGACGTGGCACTGATGACAACAGAAATGGAGATTAACATAACAAACATACTGAGAACATAATTGAGAGGTAGAGCCACAGTTAGTTCCTAACTGCCTGTGTGTGTGTGTGTGTGTGTGTGTGTGTGTGTATGTGTGTGTGTGTGTAAAATGAGAGCGCATCATGCAGGCTGCAGACGCACACAGGGCTCCTCTCAAGCAGTAGCATTACAAGCAGGCCAGGACCCCCAGGTGTAAGATGGTGAAGTATTTCTCATATTTCTCCTCTGGCAGACAACCAGAGTCTAATACTGAGCCCTGCTCTGTCCTCCCCACTGGCACACATAAACACACACACACACACTAGTGACACCACTAATCCTTTGTACGTACAGTATGTGCACGCACATCATCCTGCACTGATACCCGTGTGCAGCTACATGAGTGTGTGTGTGTGTGTGTGTGTGTGTGTGTGTGTGTGTGTGTGTTTGCCATTGTGTGTATGAGACAGAAAAAGGGGGAAAGAGAGACCCCCTCCTCTCCAACCCCACCTGGCAAGGAGCAATTTAGCAAGAATGTAGCAGAGAGGGCTAACAGGAAATCCCTGCTGTCTCACCTGCGCTGGCCCACTAAGCTGTGATAGTACTACTGTACAGACGCCTTGCTAATACCCTCTTAAAGCACTCACCCCTGCCAGGCACAGTAGACGAAAAACAAGGAGAGAAAGATGGACAGATGAGGAGGGAGAGATAAAAGGGTGGAGGGGAGTAAGGGGGAGAGAGTGAAAGAAGGTGGATAGAGATCATGGGAATTCTTAACATATTATTGGGCGTGAGCGTATTAACACCACTGACATGCTGCTCCTCCACTAGCTAAAACTGCTACTCCATCAGCAGATCTGTTACAGGAAATACTGTATGATTTTATCAGCTGGCACACATGCCGAGATGAAAGACAGCTAACAAGTCAAAGTGATTCATTTCTCTCTTCTTCAATTTCCTCTCCAATTTTCCTTTCCCTGTAGTCCCGTTCTCCTCGATGTCGTCTTCCAACAACACCTCCCTCGCTCACACAGCCACTACTACCTCTCTTTCAACACTCCATCCCTCTAGCCATGCTCCAAACTCTCCAGGAGTTTTCCTATTGCCGTTTAAAAGGTACGGGTCCTGTGGCGAGACAAAGTGACATGTCGGTGTGAGAAATCCCTCAAGTCCTGAAGCCAGGTTTGTGCATTTCTGTGTGGCTTTTTGTATTTCCATGTGAGTGATAACGCAGCAGTAGAACTCCTCCGGTCTTCAGGACAACTGGGTTCCTCATTGTGCCTGTGCAATTGGACACTTGGGGCTACATTCTGTTTTGTTATCGCAGCATTTTTTTTGTTTAGTTTATGAAAGAAGGAGAAAGAACAGTGAGGTAAAGAAGTATAGGGGCCCACTGCTGTCCAGTCTGGCGCAGTTCGAATCCAAAGGGGACATTGGAAATTGCATTCAAGTGTTGCTCAGATAAGATGAATTAAAAACACATCTATACTGTATCACCCCATCTTCCCCGAAAACCCCATTTAAGCTTTCCAGCACCTCACTCAGCACCATATCATTTAAAAAAATGACCTTGATATGTTTTCAAGAGTCTGCGGTTGCAAAACTATTAAGTCTTTGGAATTTCTTTAAACGAAGACAGTCACAAACTAGTAACCACTCTGAAGTGTGCATGCACACATGCATATGTATTCAACAGTATTCTGTATGCACACATACATGTACCAGCAATTAAATGTGCAACCTTGCACACGTGCATAAACACACACTCATTCTCCTTGACTTCCTCTCTCATGCTTGCAATGACAGCCAAATGTGGATTCTGGACACTGGTTAGCAAAGTAAAACAGAGGCTTAAAGAAAACAGCTTCTCTGTTTGTCCTCACCTCCCTTTTTCCTGCCTCACATTTCATCATAAAAGTTTTTCTGGCAGGCAAATCTGCAAAGGTATCAGGCCCAGCGTCGGCTCTGGGCCGCAATAAACAACACGGGGTCTATATGAGTAGACCACAGTCAAAACGACCGAACCAGAGACGATGGGGAGACCACAGCAGAGGCGTAGGGACGCACCAATTCTTGCATACTCACACACCAACAGTTGCATTCTCCCTTACCCGCTTGGGTGTGAGTAGAGTCATAGCTTGACCAGAAAAACATTCCTAATATGATCTCCTATCTCTCGCTCTAGCTCTCTCTGACCTTCACACATGCAGACATTCACACACAACCCATGAGCTTTACTCACCCTTTGTACCAGATGTATAAACGATGTGTAAACACAAAAACCATGCATACAGATTTTCCCACACATAAACTGTTATTTATAAAAGGAGAATGTGTGGTGAGAATGTGGACAATGATGAAGGGATGTGAAATATAAGGTGAGACATGTAACCCTATAGTAAAACACTGTTTGTTTAGGTTGTTCACTGATTGTGTTGTTATTTTGCAGTCTACAGTGTTCAGTAAATTATTTATGAGTGACAAATGTTATCATGCTTTTTATTTACATTTAAGCCATCATCTCCCTGTTAACGATATTTTCATTTGATCCTTTCAATATCAGCTCTATAGACGAATCATTAATCATCCATGTGATGTTTAGTACTATGACTGAGATGTCACCACGATGATGATTTACAAGTATATGTGTATATGTGATGAATTAGTAGTATGGGCGCTATAACCTTGCATAATGGTTGCTTATAATGACAGTTGTTACCTTAAATTGTACTTTTTCTTCCTTGCCGTTATTCTCATTGACACAAGTATTGATATGCAAGTTTATAATCTGATGAAAATAACGTGTATATATATAATAGATATTTCTTTGCGCACACAGTCTTCGGCATGAATCTGAAGAGTTATATCCATCTGGCACTTTGTGTTTCGTTCTAAGAATAAGTTTAAATGTCACTGTAGCTGACAACACCACCATAAAAGCTGTTAAATCCCAAGAGTGGGTCTGGTGGAGTCTATGTAACGTCTGAACTTGAGTCTGCTGCAGTGCACTACACACAGCTGTGTGAACGATTCACTTTTCTGGCTGTATGACGTCCAGTCAGCCTGTATAAATACAGCAGAGGGCAGCCATTAGACTT